ATCACAACATCTAACAAGCCACTGCAGTATGACAAAATGACAGACTAGTGGTGGCCATCACGTTGTTGTTTTATGACATGGAGTTGGTTCTGACTCAGAGCCACCCTGTACAGGATGTCCGAGGCTGTAAATGTTTACTGGAGCAGAAAGCCTCATTTTTCTCCCACGGAATAGCTAGTAGCATCGAACTGCTGACCTTGAGGTTAGCAGCCCAACTCGTAATCACTACGCTACCAGAGCTCGTAGGTAGGCCATCACATTAGGGTGAGTTAATTAAATGTTTGAGCAAATATAGCAGGCTAATTTTTAAGTTGATAGTTTTGTGTGGCCTGCTAATGATGTTATAAATTTGGTCAGAAAAAAGACTCCCCATATCTGCTTTAAAAGAATCTCTCTCAAACTAGTGCTACAAACTTGTTCACTGCCTTGTTCTTCCACCACACCCAGCACATATCTCTACTACATACCATACTCTGTATCTTCTTTTGTTTGCGGGATTACCTGGTGTTGTCTTAGACATTCAGTATTTTAAGATAAACAAGGCATTTGTGCCGCTGCTGTCAGGTTGATTCCATCTGATAACAATTCTACAAGACAGAGGAGAAGTCCTTCTTGGAGTTTCCAGGGTTCTAAGTCTTTATAGAAGCTGACTGCCACATCTTTATCCCACAGAATACCTGGTGGGTTTAAACTGTTGACCTTTTGTTTAGTAGCCAAGCACTTTAAGCACTGTGTCACCAGCCTTCCACAAGTGATCTATTAGTTTAATCTTGAATTCTGACCTGTTTGACAGGTCTGAACGGGTTTCCTCAGTGGCGGTATATAACCATTATCCAGGAAATGCCTGTAACCTCTCTTCTGTGCAGAATCTTTGTTTCTTGTAATTTTCCATTTTCTTGCTTGTTTCAATGGAGCACATCCTTTAGTAGCTTCCTAAGAAATATTGCACTGGGGGAGCAAACTGAGAGTTTGAAAATATGTATGGTCTGCCTTATCCTAGAGTGGTCATTTGGGTGGGAATGAGATTCTAGGTTGCACATTGTTTTCCTTCAGACTATACAGGCATTAGCTCATTGCCTGTATTTGCAGTTGAGAAGTTTAAAGCCATTTTACTCCTGTTTGCTTGTTTGTTATGGTTCCTTTTCTGTTTCCACCCAGGAAGTTCTTAAGCTCTTCTTGTGTTCTGAGTATTATGAAGTTTCTTGATCGTTTTCCTGATAGTATACCATGCTTGCTTTCTCTGTGTTGTTGTTAAATGCTGTGGAGTCAGTTCCCACTTGTAGTGACCTTGTATAGAGTCCAGTGCTGATCCTGTGGTACCACATTATGGAAGGTTTTGGAATCATTTAGTTGATGGTTTCTTCACTGTTACGCCTGCTTTCTCTCTAAAACACTGCCATTTGGGTGGATTGGCCTTCTAATTTTCTTATTTTTATTAGTCTATTTTTCTATTCTTTTGTTTTGCTTTACTTTCTCAGAGATTTCTTCTGCTTTATATCCAAAATCCCTCTATTGAGAGTTTTCATTTCTCCTCTTATATTTTTTAAGTTCTGAGAGATTTTGGGGGGCACTGATAGGATGTTTTGTTTTTGTTTTGGTACAGCATCTTACTCCTGTTCTGTAGTTGTGGTATATTTTCTTATTATCCTCTTTCTGAGGATACTGATGGTGATTTTTTTTGTCAAGTTTTCATTTATGGCTTTCTCTTAATTCTCCTTCCTCCCCTGTCCCTTTTTTCCCAGGTGTTTGTAATTCATGTTGGGAGCTTTTCTTAGTTGTTATGTAAGGCAGTTTGCTCCTGTTTAAGTGAAATCGCCTACAAAGAGGAAAGGAGCCTGGAGTGTTCGTTCCAATGGGTTGCTTGCCTGAGCATTGCATTGCAGGCTCCTCTCAACTGGCAGTCTATGATTGGCCTTCAGGACTCCCTGAAGAAGACTCTTGGGCCTCCTGGTTCGATGGTGGATGGTCTGGTGGCCAGCATCCTGGGAGCTGAGCAGGAAGCCGCCCGATGTGCTCACTTACCTTGTTCAGTAGACTGCCCTCATCTTCAGCTGTGCCTGGGTTCCTCCAGCCCACAGAGCCCTGTTTAGCCCTTTGCTGGGCTGCTAGCTGCATGGTCAGCGGTTCAAACTCACCAGTTGCTCTGCAGGAGAAGGGTGGGGTTGCCTGCTTCCATCGCGATTGAGTCTCCGAACCCTCAGGAGCAGTTTTCCACTGCCCGGTAGGGTCGCTGTGAGTCTGAAGCAACGTAAAGGCAGTGGGGTTGGCTCTGTGGTTCTTTATTAAGCAGTCTTTGAACCAGGCCTTATTTTAGCTCCTTTTCCTTCACTTTGTATTTCTAGAGGCATCTGGCTGTTGCTAGTTCTGAACCTTTTGGAGATTCTGTATCTCCAAATAACTGACCACTTAGATTTCATTTTTATTTGGTCTCTATATCTTTAGTATTATTTGCTAACGAGTGTATTGTTTCAGTTTTTATTCTTTTGACTCTAACATATTGTGTGGAAACAAATTGTTTTTCTCTTCTTTTCCACTACAGGGAAATTTTCTCAAGTTGGGAGCATAGTGTGCTTCATCTTTGTGTTCCCAGCAGTTCAATATAGCGCCTGATACGCAGCAACAGACTATGAATGTGTGCCCAACGGAAGATTTCCCCAAGTGCCCCTTCCCACCCCAATTGATTAGGGTTACAGCTAAGTGTATATTTGTAAGTGAATATGGTGAGGTCAAAAGGTTATCGAATTTTAGCTAGAAGAGTGCCTTTGTTGGAAGAATATGCCACTTACTGTGTCTAGTTTCGCTTCTGTGCTGTGTTGTTGTTGTTAAATGCTGTCAAATTGATTCCTACTCATAGCAACCCAGTATAGGGTTTCCAACTAGTGTCTGGTGAGCTTGAACCACTGACCTTGCGGTTCAAACTGACTTTGCAGTCCAGTGCATTAACCCACAGTGCCACACCAGGACTCCTGATCTATGTTGTTGTTGTTGTTAAGTGCCGTCGAGTCGGTTCCGACCCATAGCGACCCTGTACAGGGTTTCCGAGGGTGTAAATC